GACATGCCACGTTCAACCACGAACTCTCAACGCGCAGCCGCTGACGTCGCCGCTGCTAACGCTGCCGCAGCTGCCACTGCCACCTCATCCGCCGCTGCCACCGCTTTCTCCCCCACCATGGCCAATCATCCGGCATTGATATGCCCGACATCCGCACAGACTCTGTCGACAACATTGCCCACAACCTCACAGGTGAGCAAACACCAGCACCCAATGCCGCCACTGATCTCGCGACACTCCTCCGCATGGTGACATCCATCGACGACATCAAAACATTTGTCTCCACCATCTCCGCTCGCGTGACCGACATCGAAAATCAAATCCCCGCCATCCAGATCGTCACCACCACGTCTCCCCCCCCCCACCTCCGTTTCCACCACACTTCCCTCATCTTCGGCCTCTACATCCACCGCCTTCTTCGCTCGCACGTCCTCCACACCCCCGCCTTCATCCACCACCACCCCCACCGCGGTTACTCCACCGCCCAAGACGACAACCCCCGTCGCCACGTAGTCGTCGACCATTCCCCCCCAGTCAAAACCTCTCATGACTTCATCCACTATCACTTCCACCCTCCCCACCCATACCCAGATCACCCCCACACCACCAGCCCTGCTCCCCATTCTTCCAATACGCACTTCTCCTGACCAACCCCACCCCCGATTTCACCCGGTACCATCCTCCTCAGCCCAACTTGATTTCAACATCCTTAACAGGTAACATTCCCCCATCCTTCAGATCAATAGACATCACCGGCCTTCCCCACGAGGACGTCTTCGTATTCCTCAACAAACTCTACGACGCCTTCTCCCTCCACAACGTCCTTGTCACACACTGGCTCCCTATTGCCAGCACCAGGTTACAAGAAGGTGCCGCTCGTTGGTGGTACGCCGAACGAGCTAACCGGCAACACGCAAACGTGGAACCCCATTCCTTCCTCGAGTGGGCCAACCTCATCGCCTGCACATTCCGACCGCATAAGACGGTCGATTACAACTTTGAGGAACTCTGTCGCCTCGACAGAACGGCCCGACTGATCGTTTTGTCCAATACGTCCGTGCGTTGCGGCAACACATCCCCCTTGACTATGTAAGCGATGCCGCATCCATCTCCCGCTTCAAACGGGGATGCCGCAAGGACCTCGCCGCCTCCCTTGTCCACGACCTCCCGATCTCCCTCTCCGATCTCTTCAACCACGCCATCCACCTAGACAATTTTTTTACCCCGTACAAGGACGCACTTACATCCACCCCACCCCGCTCACGATTCTTTCATAACATCATCGACGAAACCTCTCTCTCTGCCTCCTCGGACGAGTTCTTCACCCCCGACCCTGACACCCTCCCAGACCCACTAGACACCACATCGCTCTCCTCCGAGGAACTCTCCACCATCCACCTTATGTGGATGGAAAAGAGAGAACGCACCAGCCGTCCTCCCATAAACACCCCCCCAACCCGTCTCACGAAACTCACGTCGGAGGAGCGAACCTACCTCCAAGCTAAGGGTGGATGTTTCCGGTGCTGACAGTTAGGACATCAGCAGACAAGTTGTCCAAATGCCAGACAATTCACACGTCAGGCACCCAGGTCCGCGGCCCCCCAACCCGCCGCTTCCACATCCGCCACTCCCGGCCCCTCCTCCACTTTAACACTGTCCCCATAATCACCACGAACCCGCCCCGGCATTGACGACTGGTCTACCAGCCATCCCACCGGTGACGATCTCCGTTCCACTTGCGGCCCATTTGGCATTGACAATATGTCTGCCTCCCCCCTCTCCGATGCCACACATCCCACCGGAAGACCCCCAGGTGTCACAACCCTCATCACCCGACGCCCCCTTCACTGCCACATGTTCCTCAACCCTCCTTCCGAATCCATCCTCTGTCACCTTCTCCGATGTTGTTGAGGAACAAGCCCGACACGATCGGCTTGTCCGATTAGGCAATGAACAACGCCACCTCAACACCGTTATCTCCACCGCCAACTCATCACGCATCCACCTCAAATTCATCGTCGTCGCTCTTGGTGCGTCTACGACTAAATTCCAGACGCTCCTCGACATTGGAGCCATTGGTAACTTCATCATCGACGCGTGTGTCCAAAAAGTCGGCCTTACCTCTACCGGTTACGATTCCCCGATTACGATTTGTTTAGGAGACAAGGACACCGCCGTCATAGTAGACTGCACGGTTCTCGAGACCACCATGACTGTCGGAACCCTCTGCAGTCAGGTCTCATGCGATGTCATGTGTGATATCGTTTTGGTAACACCGTGGCTGGACCGCTATATGCCATACGTGTTCCACCCCAACTTCCTCCGCCTTACCAACCCCCCTGACACTACCATCGACATTCCCCATCTCCCCTATCCCACCTCCCCAAGCTCCGTCACCCTGCACCAATTCCTTCACATGGCTCGCACAAACCCTGACTCCACCTATATTGCCTTGTCCTTGATCGTGAGCGTCCCGAGGACTTGCTCCCAATGGACAAACCCGACCAAGCCCTCCCTTCGGACCCCGCCCTCACCCCCATCCTCAATGAGTTCAAGGACGTTTTCCCCGGGTCCTTGCTTGTCGGATTACCTTCGGATCGTGGCGTCTCCCACACCATCGATTTGGAGACCGGCCACTCTCCACCTTGCTGCCCTCCGTACCAACTCTCCGTTCCAGAAGCCGAAGAAATGAAGCAGCAACTCAATGAACTCCTTGAAAAAGGATTCATTAAGCTGAGTTCATCCCTCTTCGGCACAAGCTGCCTTTTCGTAAAGAAAGGCGAAACATCGGAACTTCGGATGTGCACAGACTACCGTGCCTTGAACCGGATCACGATCAAGAACAAGTACCCCCTACCTCGGATCTCCGAGCTTCTCGATCGACTCCGTGGAGCCAAGTATTTTACCAAGATCGATCTCCGTAGTGGCTTCCACCAGATCCACATCCCCGAGGAGGATACCCAAAAGACCGCCTTCCGTTCGGGCACTACGAATTCCTCGTGATGCCCTTCAGACTCAAGAACGCCCCCACCACATTCCAATCTACAATCAATCACATCTTCTGAGACCTCCTCGAAGTCTGTGTTGTCGTCTACCTCGATGATATCCTCGTCTATAGCCCCACCTTTAGAGTCCCACCTTCAGCATCGTCGCCAAGTTCTCTCTATCCTCAGAGAGCAAAAATTCTACGCCAAGCTCAGCAAATGCACCTTTGTCGCTTCAAGCGTGAAATACCTTGGCCACATCGTCTCCGCTGAAGATATCCGCATGGACCCCTCGAAGGTCACCGCCCTCGTCGAGTATCCACCACCCAAGACCCTACTCCAACTTCGCTCATTTCTCGACCTTGCCAACTACTACCACCCCTTTATCCGCAACTTCTCCGACATCTCGTACCCCCTCCACGAACTCACGCGTCACTTGGAACGACCGCCGCCAAAATGCCTTCGACTTCCTCAAACAAAACATCACCACGGCCCCCGTCCTCAAGATTGCCGACCCCTCTCGACATTTCTACGTTACCACTGACGCATCCGAATTTGCCCCTGGAGCCGTCCTATCCCAACACTTCCCTCGCGACACCTCTGAAACCCCCTCCATCCAAAACTCCCCGACCCACCCTGAGGCTCCACCCGGGGAATACCCCATCGCCTTTGCTAGCAAGAAGCTCCTTCCCGTGGAGACGAACTATCCGCCCAATTAGAAGGAACTCCTCGTCGTGATCCACACCCTCAAAGTATGGCGCCCGTCCCTCGACAGGCACCCATCCGCACAGACAACATCATCGTTTCCTCTATCCTCACCAAGAAAGACATCACCCCGCGCCAAGCCCGTTGGTAAGACTTTCTTGCCCAATTCACATTCACCATTTGCCACACCCCCGGTAAAAGCAACTGCATTGTCGATGCCCTCTCTCGACGCCCCGACCACAAGCCCTCTGAGAAAGTCTACGCCGCCATGACTCATATCCAACTCCTTCCATCACTCCACCACCGCTACAACCAAGGCTACCTCTCTTGCCCAGATTTCCCAACAATCTACGACAAACTTCGTGACCTCGACTCAATCCCCAACTACTCCCTTCACAACCAACTTTTTTACATTGACACCAAAGGCATTCGCCGACTTTGCATCCCCGACGCACGTGGCCTCCGTACCCAGCTCTTGGCCGAGCATCACGACGCCAAGACTGCGGGACACCTCGGGTTCCAGAAAACCTTTGACACCATCTCTCGTTATTTCTACTGGCCTTCCCTACTCACTAACATGTCAAGCCATCAACCCCTCAAACTGTGCCAAGCCCGACAAGCTACAATCATTGCCGATCCCCACCCACCGGTGGCAATCCATCTCCATGGACTTTGTCTGTCGTCTCCCCAAGACCGACCGCAGACATGATTGCATCTATGTCATTGTTTGCCGCCTGACTAAACGCGCCCACTTCATCCCTTGCACCACATCGCACAGCGCCAAGGACGTCGCCATTCTCTTCTTCGACCATGTCGCACGCCATCACGGTCTCCCCGAGAACATCATCATCAACCGTGACCCTCGCTTCCTTTCACAATTCTGGAAACACCTCTTTAAAGCCTACCGAACCACGCTCAAGTATAGCACTGCATTCCACCCACAGACCGATGGACAAACCGAGAAGATGAATGATACTCTCCAACGAATCCTGAGGAAGTATTGTCATCCACATCAACACGATTGGGATCAGTTGCTCACCATCGCCGAGATCGCCTACAACAATGTTGTATGTCCTTCCACTAGCATGACTCCATTCTACCTCGACCTTGGCTATCATCCGCGCTTTCCCTCCAACTTCCTGCTCCCCTCGGAACTCAACCCCTCCACCCCCTGCCCTTCTCTCAATGAATGGGTAGCAACAATGAACAGACTCCTCAGAGAAGCTACCGAAGCCCTTGAACGAACACAAGAACAACAAGCCAACAAAACTAACAAACACAAACGTGACGTGTCATTCGAAAAAGGGGACAAAGTCTGGCTCTCTGCCAGACGCTTTGAACCCGAACACGGCTTGTCCAAGAAACTCTCGAACAAGTGGCTCGGACCCTTTCCCATCATTGAACAAACCTCCCCCATCAACTACAAACTCCAACTCCCCCCCGAACACCCTGTCTTCCACGTAGAATACCTAAAAGAATACCATGAATCCCCACCCCAATTCGTTGACCGCCCTTACCCCAGCCCTCCACCAATCATGCTTCCAACAGGCCTAGAATTCATAGTAGAATCCATCATAGGACGAGGAACCACACAAGTATCACACCATCCGGAACCGATCAAAGAATACAAAGTTAAATGGACAGGATACCCTTACGAAGAATCCACATGGGAACCTCTTGCCAACCTTAAAAATGCTATGAAACTTGTTCGCGCCTACAGTCGTGCTCACCCTATATCCTAGATACATAATATAATTCAAACTCTAAACCCTTGCATAAACCCCGCCTTGACCCCGCCAAAACCCCGCATTCTTGCTCTACACACACCCCTGTACCCAACGAAGCCCTGCCACTTGACCCCCCCCCCCCTATCTGATCCGCTTTTGCCTTTGCCTTGCCCCGTTCTCCCATCTGTCCTCTGCCACATCCTTGTCTCTCTTGTCCAAGTTCTATATGTGGCCCCTGCGCATCGCCGGCGATAATGGATCTAATCGCAAGAGCACGAGGACGATTGCATGTTGCAGCTCGGTATGAGGAGATAAGGCAGTTGGTTGGCCACCATGTTGTTCCTTTTGGCCGACACCTTGGACTCGCAGACTTCTGGAGCAGCACCTCTGACATGGACATCAAGATCAGTTTGCAACCTGCTATCCGGATCAGACCTCATCATCAGATCGTGTACCGGACGCAACCTGTTACTGGGACAATCAAGCTGACACCCTCGTCGTCTACGTAACAGAACTGTTGAAGACTGCTTCCTCACCGCCACTTCTAC